ATATGTCCTTCTTACATGCTTCCATTAAATTATGTAACGTATATTAAAATCTACAAGTTGCATGACCTTGTTTTATAAAGAAATAACACTAACAGCTATAGTCAGCATTTCAGTTTCGGTCAGGCATGTCGGGACCCCTCAAAGGAAGAGCTATTGTATCGTTCTGCCTTCAATTGATAGTAAAGGTTTGACACCTTACTCATCGATAGGATTTACAATCATGCCTTGGTGAGGTAGTGTATATTGTTTACTTCCATTACAGACTGGAGACTTGAGGGTAAAGATGAGCCAATCCCCAGAGGATAGCTTAACCACTGCAGCCTGGCAGCCTGACGGCAAAAAGTTTGTCACCGGAGGCACCAGGGGACAGTTCTATCAATGTGTAAGGATAATATCAGTGCTTGTTTTATATATTACATATACATTATATATCAAGATATGTAGACATTTTATTTTTCTTCTACTTTTACTGTACAGTTGTTAATTTATGGTGAATACTTTGCTTTCCTTTAATATCAATAAACAATGCAAGGTAAAGAGAGAAAAAAAGTATTTGCTCAAAACACTATCAGCTTAAAACCAACTTGACACAAATTTTTCCTCCGGTATGTTTTCAAAATCATAAAAATTCCTAGTGAAAGTTGCATGTCTACAGATTCAGAAAAGTTAAAGTACTTGTAAAGGCTAAGGTGGCATTACACTAGTCGAACTAGGCTACAGTGGCAATGTATTATCCCGTATTCACAAGTATAAACCGTGAATTTATCATAATACGAGATACATGTAGTTACATAGGTCTTTAATAAATAACTTTCTTAATGTTAAAGTATATGTATGTAATTGACCATGAATGCAATACCACCTAAAAGTGCCAATTGTTGAAATTATACTTGCATTATGAAATGCCAAATGTTGTGAGGTCGATTTGAAGCAAAAGTATTTATGTGTCTGTGTGTGACAGGACCTTGATGGTAACATGATGGACTCATGGGAAGGTGTAAGGGTCCAGTGTATGGCCTGTCAGAATGACGGCAAGAGTGTCCTGGCCGCTGACACCCACCACAGAATACGAGGCTACAACTTTGATGAACTTACAGACTACAACATGTCAGTATATATTTTTGACTGGGTAGTTCTTATTTCCAGCATGTTAAAACATAACTAGCATCGGGCTTAGTTATGCTTTGAATTAATTTACACATAAAAATTGATAAATAATAATAAAAAGAGTTCAATACAATTTTATCATATTCATTGAAGTGTCAAAATGGTTATTAATTCAAGCTCAAGTCACAATTAGAGAAAGGATAATTGCTGTATTTCTATATTGGTTTCTATTCGAGCATTCAAGTTTCTGAAGTTCAAATGTATTTAGACATTTTTATCTGTGGTAATAGTAGTTTTTTCAATCAAATAATAATAGTAAGGGTAACTGGAAGAAATGTAAGGCCACAATTAACCCAGAACCTGTTCCCATTTTATTGTAGAATTCAGGAAGATCATCCCGTCATGTCTTTCACATTAAACGAAACGGGGAGATTAGCATTATTGAATGTCGCGACTCAGGTAATGTATTCTAACTGTTTGTATGACAAAGTTTTCTTTTAAAGTAATGATTGCTCATTACTTCTGTGTGAATGGTATTGAATTGATACAGTAAAGTAGTTTCGTGTGTTGGTGATGGGTGTTAAATAGAATGTTTGAAAAAAGTTAACCCAAATTAATTGTTGATGTTCCCGAAATAGATCACTGTTAATGGATAGTTCTGAAATTAATTATGTTTGTATATTATCTACTGTTGAATTTATCTCAAATTTGTAAATGTTTCCTGTTTCAGGGTGTACATTTATGGGATTTAAAAGATAGGTGCTTAGTTAGGAAATTTCAAGGCGTTACACAAGGATTTTACACAATACACTCATGCTTTGGAGGTCTCAACCAGGACTTCATCGCCAGTGGTAGTGAAGGTAGGCATTTATCGGTGTACATGAAACGCATGATGTAGTCCAGACCTTTTATCTGATAAAAGTTTGGATCAATATATTCTCCAGTTAACTGATGAAAAAAATGGCTTACTGTATGACCAACATAACTAAAGAATATTTATGTTTGGCACATTTTATGAAAAATGAAGACTTTTAGAAGAAATGAATATTTAAGATATTTGGGTGTTAGCTCTTTGTGATATATATAAAAAAAAAATAAAAAAAAATAGAATAGAAATATTAAAATTTGAATAATCTTAAGTATTGTAAGGAAAACATGTGAAGTTTCAAAGAGCGTTAACTATTAAACAGTTGGAATTTGTCAGAAAAAACAATGAACAATTTTCAAATTTAATACTGTATCATATACACTCTCAAGTTGTATGCTGTGTTTCATTGTTTTACAGATCATAAAGTATATATATGGCATTTACGAAGAGAAGTGCCTATAGCTGTGTTAGAAGGTCATACAAGGACAGTTAATTGTGTTCACTGGAACCCCAAAGTGCCTGGGATCATAGCTAGTGCTTCAGATGATGGCACTGTTCGAATTTGGGGACCTATCGATAAAGTGAAAATAGGTAGGTGTTGGAATGTATGGGTAGTGCATTAAAGGTAGCCACTTCATATGTTACTGGTTAATTGACAGGCTTTTTAGAGGGAAAAAATCAGTTTTATTTCAAAGCATCATGAATTAATGAAGTTGTACTATAAAAGGAGATGTTTGACACAAAGAAAACCATTTGTGTTAAATTTGCTACCTCTTTATGTGAAATAATTGTGACATAGTAATGTTGATCTGTAGAAAAGTTTACAAAATGCTGATTGCCTACGAGTTTGCATTTTTGTCAATTTAAAATTGAAAGTAGGCTAAATCATACCGTTAGAACAATGTTCCATATCAAACATGCTCAGGAAAATTAGTTTAAAACTAAATTTGGGAGATGATTGTAAGTATTTATTGACAGTAATTCCTTGTTCTCCCTGATTTGACCTACACATTTCTATTTCAGGTAATGGTGCAGAGTCAGGACGGAGTACACCAGTATAGCAAAAGACAAATTGTTATTCATAGACTATAGATCTTTCACTGTCTGGTCTGACTGCCAGCTCTGATCATCAACACATCTCCACCAGACATCTCTCCATCTCTCTATTATTTATGAGTGGTAGTAAAACGCACGTTACATCACAGTAGCTACTGAATGTAAAGGATATCTTATGACAGAAATTATAATTCCTTGATGCATCGATGTATCCATTCATACCACCATTGTCCATGTTTTCTCATACTCAATGTGCCACTCCAGAAGTGGCGTCACAGCCTTTGTACCAAAGGTTAACAGATGTGTCACTCACTATGTGATAGAACACGAAACTGTCGGTCTCCACTCAGATATTTTTCAACAGGTAGTCAACATTTAAAACATTTGGGGATATAGTATACTGTGTTGGGCCGTATTGGATGGTCATTCCAACGTTTGATATTGTAGTGATCAAAAGATTTACGGATGCCCATAGAATCGTACCAAACAGGTTGGTCATTTTAAAGTTGCAGTGTTTGAACACGGCATCAGAGTTGCAATTGATACTGAAATGTAGTTTCCAGAGTGTTTTGTAGTGGATGTTCAACAACATTGTACATATACTTTATATATAAGCACAACACTCCATGTCTTAAATGTCAAACAAGAAAATCGACTTCTTCAGTTTTATATTAAAACTAGTAAAAATTAGGGCTTCCAAAATATTGCACATACCAAGAAGCTCCCAGCTATACACCTGGAAGTTCTAAACACCAGGAACTGTGTACAGACATTGTTTTAATCTACCTGAAAAGAGGTGCAAAATCTTGTTGTGAATATATGTAATGGGAACTACATCTACTTGTTTTAGTATGTCCATTCTTACATGTATCACCATCCTTAGTCTCGTGTATAGCCACATACATATTTGGGTTTAATGTTTCTTGTGCAGTGTTAAACACTGCTAGAGCAATGTTGTTTGTTTGAAACAGCTTGGTAGCTTAAGTTTAATACTTACTTATGAAGGTTTCTCAACAAATATTACAGGTGACAACTTGACCTCCAAATTTCCCTACAGCGTTTTACCTACCAGATGCTTCTGTGATAATGTTAATCCATCAGAGATTTATTGTTGATTGTTTAGAAAGCACTATGATATTCCTATTACATGTATTGTTAATAATAAACAATTGGGAGTTCTTTGTCTAGGTGTCCAAGGTCTGATTAGCTTTGGGATACACCAACACAGCATTTTAAACTCATTATTTTCAAACGATGGAAATCGAAAACTCAATTTGTATATTTAAATATTTAAAATGATCTAATGACAAAAAATAAATGCAAATGTTTATATAGTTAGATTAACTCACATTTTGAAAATTAACATGAACAAATTTTAAACTGATCAGGCTTTCAACACCTGGGCCCGATTAATCAGCAAATGATTTCTATACCCAGTCCAAATGATAGACATCTGTACTTATGGTAAATCTGATGATATTTAAGCTTAGTGGGAAAGAGGCCCATGTGACATTATGAACACATAGTTTTCTACTAAGGTCCTAAGCCCTAGACGTTCAACCTAAGGGATCTTGTAGTGTACTTGAAAAGTGACTTGTGTGCCCTTTACCAGTCCTATTTTGTCTGGTACATTTTGTATTTATAAGAGACAAAATAGACCGTGGTTTTAGTAGAAGTTGATGTGTTCAGCTATAATCAACCTACAATTATCTACATACATGCATACAGCAGCAATGTGGTGTACACGTAGTCTGATTTCCACGAATTTTGACGCCTGAGTGTTATTTCAGTGAAACTGAGGAGACTAAACCTTTTTC